AAACATTCTTTGTTTACACCCAGGGCTTTGCTGATGAGACTCCCAACTTCATCATCCCAGCAAGAAGGTGAGAGGGCTGGGGAAGGAATTATCGAAATGTCCAGGCAACACCTGTTACCCAGGCAACTAGAGTTAGGGGCATCAGAATTTACTTGTCCAATCCTTCCTTGTAGCACCTTCAGAAGCCTTAAGGGACAGGGGAGGTGCTGGCTCAGGTGGGATCTGGACCTGGAAGCTCCCTCAGCCTTTACCTTCCCCTTAACCCCAGAGCCAAGCCCATGACCGTGGTTCACCAGCCAATGCCTCCGTCCAGGGACCTGGATCCCCCGTTCCAGCCATCTGCCTTGCCTGAAGACCCTCTGGAGAGCCCACCAGGAGGTAAGGACTCAGAGGGATGAGATTTAGGGCTCTGGAAAATCCTAGCTGAGTTTAAAAGTATCAGAGGCAAAGGTGGGGGTGGGGCTTAACTCCTTCCCCTCAGGGAGCTCAGTGTGTGAAGTTGGGGTGTAGACTTCAGAGGTCCGAGGTTCAATTCCTCAATTTAGGACTTAGCTTTTTAGGGGTGGGCTTAGACTTCTGTGGGCAAAGTTTAGTGTTTGGGGGAGGAGCTGAGGCTACTGAAGTAGGGCTTAGACACCTGCAGTTGAGGAATGCCCATCTGAGCCTCTCCTTTCCTTAGCCCCGGATCCTGTACTGGAGCCCCCATCGATCCCACCGCCGTCCAGCCTTTTACGCCCCCGCCTCAGTCCCTGGGGCTTGGCTCCCCTCTTCCGTTCCGTCCGCTCCAAGCTGGAGAGCTTTGCTGACATCTTCCTCACACCCAACAAAGCCCCACGGCCCCCACCCCCATCACCTCCCATGAAGTTGGAGTTGAAGATTGCCATCTCAGAGGCTGAGCAGTCTGGGGCTACTGAGGACACTGCATCTGTCAGTCCCCGGCCCCCTATCCGCCAGTGGCGGGCCCAAGACCACAATCCCCCAGCACCTCTTTCTAAGCCCTCTCTGGGCCGAAGCCACTCCTGCCCCGATCTGGGGCCCCCTGGCCCAGATACCTGCAGCTGGCCCCCTGCTCCACACCACCCGAGCCGGTCACGGCTCCGGCGGCACACTGTGGGTGGTGGAGAGATGGCCCGAGCCCCACCACCCCCTCGGCCCTGTCTCCGGAAAGAGGTCTTCCCTCTTGGAGGAGCGGGAGGCTCTCCTCCCCTCATCACATCTTGTTCGTCCACCGCATCTACTTCCTCCTTCTCTGAACCTGCAGAACCCAGGTAGTGCTCTCAATAAACCCTTCTTAAAGCCCTGGCCACAGTCTGGGCCCAGCCTCCTTCCCTACTATCCAGTGGGCAGGAGATGGGGATATTGCTATGAATATTTTTTGTCCCTGAGCCTTGACCTTATCTGCAGGTTGGGCTCAACCAAGGGGAAGGAGCCAAGGGCCTCAGAGGACCAGGTGCTTTCAGACCCTGAGACCAAGGTAGGAGTAGAGATGGGGGGAGGAGACAGGTGGGACTCTGAGTCCATGCTGCACCCTTATCCTCTGCCCTGTTTTTGCAGACCATGGGAAAGGTTTCTCGATTCAGAATACGCAGGACACCAGTCCGTCCTCAGCCAAACCTTACACCAATGGGACTGCCTCGACCAATCAGGTGAGTGGCTCATTGTACATGCAGCTGCCTTGGCCAAATAGGTGTAGGCTTGGACCCTCTGAAGTGGGGCTCTGTCTTCTCCCAGGGAGGAGTCAATTTGGTCTGAACATGGTTTGCACTTAGAACTATATGTCTGTCTCAGGCAGCACTCCTGGCCTCAGTGTGTCCCAGAAACTAAAATATAGACCACACCTTGCTTATCCTTTTTTCAGGGCACAATGGCCCTGGGTTTTTCAATGGCCTCTGCTCTTTGCTCCCAGGTTGAACAAGAAGGAGTTCAGCTTAGAAGAAATTTATACCAACAAGAATTATCAGTCACCTACAACCAGGAGGTGAGAAACTCTGAAGGCTTGGGGGTAATAGAGGGAAGGCTGGAACCAGGGGCCATGCTGGTAACCAGCACCCCTCCCTGCCTGGTCCAGGACCTTTGAAACCATCTTTGAGGAGCCCCGGGAGCGCAACGGGACTCTGATTTTCACCAGCTCAAAGAAGCTTCGGCGGGCTGTAGAATTTCGGGACAGCAGCCTTCCTCGATCCCGGCGGCCATCTCGTGGAGTCCGGGCTGCAGCTGGCAGGACCCTTACTTCCAACGTGGCCCCCAGCCCAGATGTGGGACCTCTGCTGCAGCAGCGGCTGGAGGAGCTGGATGCCTCGCTCCTGGAGGAGGAGGAAGTGGATAGGGAGCATCCCCATCGGACCTAGGAGCTCCATCTGTTTGTCCGTCCATCCTGAAGCATCTGAGGCAGTTATATTTTTTTCTTTATATTTCTAGTAAAGTTTTCAATATGTTTCTGATTCTTTTGTATGTCTCTGGCTAAGTTTGAGATTGACTGACAGTACCAGCTGATGTTTTTACTTTGGCTCCCAAAGACTGGGAAATGGGGGAGGTGCCAGGGAAGGCAATGAGGGTTTGATACGGGAAGTGGGGGAATGGTCATCGGACATACTTCCTTGATTTAAGAATTTTCCTGTGTGGAGGGATACTTGAGAATCTGTTCCAGAAGATACTGGCTCTGGACCCTGGGCAGGGTTCTCTAAATTCACTTACATCAAGGAGGAGACTGAAGGACCCAGAGTGGACCAAGGCCTTGATCAATATGGCCCTGAATTCCTCTGAACGTGCAGGCCAGGATTTGCTTCTGGATTCAAGAGATAAGAGTAATCAGCTGTAATTGAGCACCTACAACAACCTGTCATATGTACTTGCCCTGCAGATAGCACTATGGGAGGGAATTATACCCATTTTACACACAAGCAAGCTGGGGCACCTGGCTGGCTCAGTTGGTAGAGCACGTGACTCGATCTCGGGGTCGTGAGTTTGAGCCCCACATTGGAGGTACAGATTTTTTTTTTTTTTTTTTTTAAGTAAAGGAAGGAAGCTGAATGTGTAATGAGATGTCCTTGTTAAAATGGTTAACCCAGGCAAGCAGAGGCCAGAAGTGGCATTCTCCATCTTTGGTAACTTAGGGCCAGAACAGAGCAGTGGCTAAGAGCACAGTTAAGGCTTCTTGAGCCCAAATCCTGTGTAGGAAACTCAATGTGTATTAATTCCCCTCCCCCTCTGTAAAACGGGGCCAATATCAGTAGCTTCCTAAAAGAACTCTTACTGTCAAATGAGTTAATATGTGAGAAAGTGGCCGTGGCCGGCACACAAGTGCAAAGTGTTTCCTATTAGCACGCGGAGACCACTCTCCCACGCAATGAACCGATAATGAGGACGCAGCTTCCTTCTAGCGCGTCTGGTGCTCGCAAGGCATGCCGCGTGCTCGAGCCACCCGGCACCGAGGGGATCCCGCTGAGTTGCCAGCCGCTCAACAGTACTGCCAACGCGCGTGCGCGAGAAAGCCAGGCGGCCTGTGGACTTAAGGCAAGCGGCGGAAAGGGAGAGACGACGTCTTGCTTTCGAGAGGCACTTTCCGCGGCCGCACGCCGCCCAGCGGCCAAGCGCCTCCTAGAACTTGCGCACCACCTCCTGGCTCCTAGTCTCGACGCTGTCTGAAGACGGGCCAATGAGCAGAGAGCAGGAAGAGGCGGGGTCACCTGAGGGACCGCCCCAAGCGCTTACTTCTAACCAGTCTAGTCACAAGACCTGATGAAGGGCGGGGCTAACCTGACGTATACCCAATCCAAGATTTGAGGGCGGTTACATATTACCCATTCCCCGGAGCTTGACTCCGCCCTCCGCCTTGACGTACACTTCTCAACCTATCAACGACTAAGCTTGTGGAGGGGTGAGGGGAAAGGGGCGGAGTGTGGGAGGAGGCCGAGAGAGGAAGGAGGCGTAGGCTGAGGAGGAAGAGGGAGGAGGGGCAGGGAAGTCCTGACGAAGAAGAGGCCCAGGACTCCAAAGGAGACAACAGGAGGGTGCGCTGGAGCTACCCCGCTGCCCAGCGGCTGTTCCGGATCCCTTACGGCGCAAGTCAGGCAGAGACGGAGGAAAGGAGGAAGAGACTTTTATGTCGGCAGACAGAGAAGCTCTACCCGTCACCGTTGCCTCACATCCGGGGCTTTGGAGGGCTGGACCCGCGGCCCCGCCCCCCCCCTCGCCTTTCATGGCGACCGGAGGCGGAGGCTGGAAGAGCTGGGCCTGGAGGAGGCCCCTTTAAATCTCCTTAAAGGGGCGGCCACTGAACTCGGCAGACTACATCGGCAGCCTTAAAGGGGAAGCCATCGAACAGAAGCTTGACAAATTGAGAACTGTGCTGTTGGGAGAGCTGGAACGAGTGGGGATTCTCACCGCCGTTTCTCTCTCACGCAAGAAGTCCTTTAAAATCAGCTTAAAGGGGAAGTGGCCGCTTGTGGAGGACCAGAAACTTAACTCCCGGGCCCTTAAAGGGGCGGCCTGCTGTTTGGAGGACCCTGGACTCCTTAAAGGGGTGGCCTCTTTTAGCCGGAGGACTTGAGACACTTTTAAAGGGGAGGTCTACGTTTCGGGGCGAGCTTTCGGTCCCTTTTAAAGGGGTGGCCCTTCCTCTTCCTCGGGGAGACTTGTCTCGACCCCTGGCAGGGGGCGGCCACTGCACTAGGCCGGCTGGACACCATCGGGTCGTCTTAAAGGGGTCAGGGGCTGGACAACTTGAGGCCTCGCCTTAAAGGGACGGCCGCCCCGTTTTCGGCGTCTCGGCCCCGGCGGCCCCACAGGGGGGGCCCTCGGGCTTGTCGCCCCGGGGGCGGCGCCGGCTCCCCGGGCCTTGGCCTTGGGGCAAGCTCGGGGCCAGTAGATCCTGCTTTAAAGGGGAAGCCGTGGCCTTTTCGTCCCTGTGCAGCCGCCAGCGCCGCGCCTGCGACCCCGGGCCTGCGGACAGGTCGCTTCGGGCCCCGCCGCCTCCGGATGCGGCGCTGAGGGCGGTCGCCATGGAGACGGCAGCGGCCGCGGCTCCGGGCCCGGGCTGGGCCGCTGAGGGGGAGCGGCGGCGGCGGCGCTGCTCGCGCCGAGACCGAGACCGGGAGCAGCGGCGCCGCCGAGGTCCCGGCGGCGACGCGCCCCGGGCCCTGTTGGCCGCCCCGCGCGGCTCCTCGTCGTCCTCGTCGCCGCCACCGCCGGCCAGGCCTTGGTCGTCAGCTTCGTCTGGAGAGCGGCCCGGAGGCCCGAGACGACGGCGGCCCCGTCCCAGGCCTCGGCCCCCGCGACCCCGAGCTCGGAAGCGGCCTGCCGGCTCGGGCAGCCGCGGGGAGGAAGAGGAGGAGGAGGAGGAGGGGGGCGCAGACGACGGGGAGGCCGAGGAGGAGCCTGAGGAGGAGGAAGAAGAAGAGGAGGACTTGATCGATGGCTTCGCCATCGCCAGCTTCGCCAGCCTTGAGGCCTTGCAGGTGGGGCCTGGTGGGGCTGGGGACCTTTGGGGGCTTCAGAGGGGCAGAGAGAAGGGTATCGTGCCTGGAGTGGGTGGAGTTGAGGGGGGAATGCTGGCACCCCAAACCAGAGCAACCGGCTCCTCTGGCCAGGCCTCTGCCCCACCCTGGGGTGGGAGGAGGTAGAGTTAGTCTCCAGGGACCAACCAGGTTATCTGGTCTGAGAGCCACTTTGGTAGCCTGGTCACCCCCAGAGAGGTCGGGAGCTTTCCTTTCTCCATCTACTTTAGTCCCACCTCCTCCTCCACAGAAGGATGCATCTCTTCAGCCCCCAGAGCGACTGGAACATCGGCTGAAGCATTCTGGGAAGCGGAAGAGGGGGGGCTCCAGTGGGGCCACTGGGGAGCCAGGGGACAGCTCTGATCGGGAGCCTGGCCGGCCCTCTGGGGATCGGGCCCGAAAATGGCCCAATAAACGGAGAAGGAAAGAGGTGAGCTTGTCATAGATCCTTGTCCTTTAAAACTCTGGGCATAACGTCCTTCACATAGACCTGTTTTTCATCAGTAATGCCACTGCCCATCGTAAACAGTGATTTTATTTTCTAAGGGCAAAGAAGGCAGAGCAAATTTGAGCCCTCTACTCCTCAGTCCGGGTCTGACAGAGACATTCCTACAGTCAGACTTTTCTGCTTTTGGCTGGCTCTGTTTCAGACATGTTGATAATTCAGAGCTGTATCAAAGAGATTTCACTGAATTGTAAATGAATTAGATAGGGTCTCAGCCCTCTCTCTTGAGGCAGTAGTAATCTCCCAAGAAAAAAACAATCTGTGAACAAATACCTAGACCAAAATCTGAGAAGCTATAGAAGGCAGAGGTCTGGGAGAGATGCTGTAGAAACCCACATGAGGAAGCCACTCATTCTGCCTGGGGGATGGGAGGAGGGTTGTGGTTAGGGAAAGCCCCCTAGGATGTCTTAGTCAGGCCTTGAAGGATAGTCATAATTGTGCTAAGAGAAGAAACGAGCCAAGTTGTTTTGAGCAAAAACACAGAGATGTGAGAATGTATTTGGAAGATAGAACATTGGGAACGGTGGGCACTAGCAGGAGAAGTAGCTGGAAAAGGATTGAGCGTGTCATGAAAGACCTTGAGTTCTTTGCCGGGGAGTTTAGACTTTATCCAAAGGCCTTGCCAGTCAGCCTCCCTTACCTCTGGACTCTGGTCTTTCTCAGGCCTCCTCCCGTCATTCTCTGGAAGCTGGATACATAGTAAGTGCTCTCCACCTGTACTGGTCCCTCCCCTCTCAATTCCTCTTTGGAAGTCCCCTCTCTACCTTGGGCCCCACTCTTCTTCCCTCTTGTGACATCTCTGTCTTTCCTTCTCCCCAGTGCGATGCAGAAAGCGATCTGGACGAGAGGGTGAGTGGGGGTAGAACTTGTGGGGTGGGCAGTGTTACAACTTGTAAAATGTACTGCAGCTTAAAGGTCTCCTATGTGCAGCAGACAGAGCCTCCCCTTGAGTGGGGAACATAGGTTAGGGTGGGCCAGGATTGAATGTGGGGAGGGGGAGGGAGATTGAGAGGGTAAATGACTTCTTTTCTTTAGTAACTAGCGCCAGTTGACCAAAGAATAGAAAGCCCATGTTTTGGTATCCCACGTTTTTCAAAGCCCTTGGAGATACCAGTGGTTCTCCACAGAAATCCTAGGTGACTGTGAAACTAAGCTGGTCCTTCCTGCTAGCAGTTAGTCTGCTGTCACAGATTAGAGTCCCAAGCAGAGATTATGGCAGCGAAGATTCTAAACTGTTGTGGTCAGTGTCAGAACAAGTCTTATAAATTAGATTTCAGTTTTTTCATCAGGCTTGACGTGCTTGTTTTGAAATAACGTGTTATAGCAGTTGATGCTCTACTCCTATAACTAACTGAGTTTGTATTCCCTGATGTGTGTCTAGTTTTAGTTTAAAAAGTTGGCTGGACAGGGGCTGTGGTGAACCAGAGAGTTCTTGTCTGTCTAAAGGAGGTGACCACTGTCTAGTTCTAGCTAATTGTCATGCAAGAATAGGAGCCAGTTTTTAAGAGAACCTGCAAGTCTGAGTTTTTATGAGGACGTCTTGCATTTATCAGCAATTAATTTTCAAAGATTTTGCTAACACTTGTGGACCAAACTGATCTGTAAGTCAGGTAGACATGTGGGCCAGCAGTTAGTGATCTCTAACATTTTTGCTTTGATGTGTCTACTTCTTTGCTATATAAGTTCTACCTTGATTCAGTCCTCCTGGCCTAATTTCAGGCTCAGCTATCCTACCCTTTTTCCCAAGGATAGGCCCTCTGGAGCCCATAGTCTTTGCTGGATTTTAGCTAACCTGGTGAAATAGACTTCTTACCATCACTTATTCTTAGCAGGCTCTAGAGGCTGTTAGCCTTCCTGGGTTAGAGCCTTCCTGAGCAGAACCTGACCCTGTCCCTACCCTTCTTCCCCAGGTCTCCGATGATGACCTCGATCCATCCTTTACTGTCTCAACCAGCAAAGGTTGGTCTCAAGGGCTGGGGCTGGAGACAAGGGAGGGAAGTTGGGTGAGCATGGGCCTCAACTGAATATGTCTGCTGTCCTGTCCTCACAGCCTCGGGCCCCCACGGCGCCTTCAATGGGAACTGTGAAGCAAAACTCTCCGTAGTCCCTAAAGTGTCGGGCCTGGAGCGGAGCCAGGAACAGCCCCCAGGGCCCGACCCGCTGCTAGTGCCTTTCCCCCCGAAGGAACCACCGCCTGCACCGGCCCCTCGGCCTCCTGTCTCACCCCCTGCACCCCTGCCGGCCGCCCCCAGTCTGCCACCCCCACCCCAGCCCCAGCTGCAGCTTCGGGTCTCGCCCTTCGGCCTCCGCACTTCTCCCTATGGCAGCAGCCTGGACCTCAGCACTGGCAGGTGAGTGGTCCAGGGGTTTGGTCTGATCTGGAAGGACCTGGTCATTTTGGCGCCAACCCCTGCATTCTGTGGCTGGGACATGGGATGGTACCTGTGGGATGTGACTTGAAGAAAGGATTCCGAGGCTGAAAAGTTTTAGAGACACTGGGTGAAACAGATTTAAAGAAATTACTTGCTTGCAGGACTTACCAGAACCTTTCCACCCTACATTCACATGCAGGGAAATCCGCTTTGTGCCGTTTCTCAATTTTATTTGCTGGTGAGACCTTCTTGCAGGGCACATCTGCTAGGAATACTGTTCTTCAGAACATACTTTGGGAAATGCTGACATGATGATTAAGGGTGCTGGCTTTGGTGTCAGTCAGACCTGGACTCAAAATCTTGCTCTGCCACATAGTGACTGTGTGATTTTTGACAAGTCACTTAATCTCTCTGAGCCTCCATTTCCTCCTCCTGTAAAAAGAAATAGCAAGAGTACTTTCATCCTAACAAAGCTATTGTGAGGATTAATTATGAGTTAATGCAGTGTTTCCCAAAGTGTGTACGTGCATCGTCATTGGTGCGTGAGATAATTTGAGCTGTTACGTGAGTAAATTTTTTTCAGTTGTTACTTGCTTTAGAAAAACATGACTAGTATCTCAAACCCTTGATTTCACATGTGTGGCTTGGGCGAGGCTAAGTGAAAAGTCAAGAAAGAGTTAAATTAAAGAAAGAAGTAAATGGTACAGGTGGTTGCACGGACGCAGCAGCAGTTGGGAAGGTGGTGTGACATGTTGGAGATTTGGATTAGCATGTAAAGCAGGTGCCAGCACTTGACCTACAGTAAGTGCTTGTTAAAGGGTAAGAATCACTGACACTATTATTATCATTATCGATGCTGTTCTATTGTTGTCATTCTCATTATTGTTCTTTTTCTTATTCTTGAGAAAACTAAGGCTCAGAGAGGGGCAGTGACTTGCTCAAGGTCACCCAGGGTGTCAATGGCAAGATGGGCCTAGAATTCAGGTCACCTGACTCCTAGGCCAGGCCAGGGAGGTGCTGCTTCCACTGTCTTAGGGTGGGAACCCAGGTGGCTTAGGTTGTAACTAAGCGGCAAAGCGAACGACATGTTTCGTGCTGCAGTTGAGTCAGAAAAGGGCAAGTCATGTGGCCAGAGACGTCCGGGCAGCTGTGTGGAAGAGATCTGGAGAGGGAGAGCGTGGGGGTCGCTGGGTGTGGGAGGTACCTCAGTCTGAGGATGGG